ACCCACATCATAGAACTAAACCAAAAATAATAGAAACAAAATTACGTGATAACTAACATCAAGTGTCACCAACATAAACTAGACATTGACAAATTTTGAATTAACAATGTCATAAGAAGTCGACTTGAGTGAGTTACATTTAACCTATGGTTGTACCATAGATAAAACATACTCCCTTAGTTGTACTGCATCTAGGCTTTGACTATTCAATGATCCCTGTGTAAAAAACAGTTTGTTGTTTGTCTTTGTGCCTTTGTTAATGTTATTTTCAATATATCATTCGAATCATTACATAGGGTTAACTCTGCTAAAGGCAGCAAACAACTGTTTGTGAATAAATACTGGTTTACTAGGGTAGCTTTGGTCTTGTGGTTAATGGTGATAAAAAAGGCTTCCCTTTTTAATGGGTTACACCAAGAAAACAAAACTCTGTACACGTCTCTATGGCACGCAAGTGAACTTTTTGTTGTATTCAAATCTTGTTCTTAAACCCAAAATGGGTTATTTTGGTGGCCCCATCGAGTGACACCTTATATTAATAGGCCATTAGTCGAAGAAATATATATCGAAGAAAGAATATCGACAAAAGCTAGAGGTCTCTATCTAAACTCAACCCACTACAGTGACTGCAGATTGGTACGCGTTAAAATCGTTTCAGTTACTGTTACTCGTTGTTATATATAATCTGTGAAGCATTTTGCTCGACATCCTCCCCGATTTTTTCTCTAGTAAAACCACTTATTAGTTATTAACACCACACTTTGCATAACAAAACGGTAGCCGTCTACTAACAACGCCGCGCCCCTTCTCTTCGTTTCACATATCTTATCCTCCATCGAAAGACTATCAACTAAGTATAACTAACACACCAACACCCTTACTACTAACTCTCTGAAGGATGGCACAAAATTGTTGAGAAATACCGAATTTGAAAAATATTACATGAGTCAAGCTAATAGGAGGGCATTCCACTGAGATTCCACGTGAACGCCCCTCTGCAGACCATGGAGGTTGGGTACAGTATTTGTAGTTCTGCAACCTAGCGTCTTGGGCGAATAAAACTATTTTTGAATATTACAGTTTTACAGTATTATATTAGTATTTGATCACTAATATTAAAAATCTAGTGTAATTAAAAGCGTCGAACAGATCATATAAAATGCAGTGTTATATAAGCGGTAAATGAACATAAAACTTGTTTCTTAGTGGTAAATAATTATTCCCTCCAAAGGTCCATAGTTTAGGCCTTAATGTCCACCTATTTTTGGCGCATTTGCAAGGTTTTATTAAAACGGATCTGAGAAGCTTAAAACAATGTTAATTCTAATGTTCTATATACCATTTTGTTTGGAAAATCATGGGCTTCAATATTATATATAAAACATAAGGAACATTTTTCAAAAAAAAAATTTTTAGGTAAAAAAAATATAATTTCGAAAATTTTCAAAAAAAAAAATAAGTTCGCGCTCAATGAAATTGTATAAATTATAGGCCTATAAATATTTGAAAATAGCCACTTTGTTCTAAATTTAATGAGGATTACAAATATATAATCATATAGCGAGGTAAGTTATCAAATAAATAAGTTATGAGCGAAAAACGGATTTCAGTACATAGCGTTTAGCTAAGAATGCATAGCCTAACCATAGCTAGGAATCTGGCTGATAATTTACATCAATATCACTACCTACTTCTTCAGGATCATCAACCAGCACTTCAAAACCACTTAAATCTTCTTATAATGCACCACGTATATCACTACTTTTGATTTTTAACACTAAAACAATGATAAACATAATAAAACACATCAGTCATCGGTCCGAGTTTACCTGTTTACTGTTTACTAATATGCACGTCAGCTGTCTGCTACAATTACGATCGGCTCAGAGAACAAACAGCGCTTAGAGACAGACCTAAAAGGTTAAGACAGAAATGGGAATTTTAGTCTCCCGTTTCTCCCCGTCTATCTGGGGAATCTGCCGTGGCAGTTTCAGTGTTTCTAGCCCTCTCAAAAACACCCTTATAATCCTCACTAATTGCCGTGGCAGTTTCAGTATGGAGCATGATCGTAAAACGTCGTGGCAGTTTCGGTGTCCCCAGTGCAGTTCGTTGTCAGCCGTGGCAATACGATGCGTACCGCTAGGGCGCTCGTCAACGTCAACATCCCTACAGCCTACTCCCGTATAACCGGTGTTCGCTACCAATTTTGTAACGAAATTGATGCGTAGTTCCGAAAAATAGTTTAAGTTTCCTAACAATTATTTCTTCTTATGAACCTCAGAATCATAACGCTTAACACGTTCGCTGCTGACCGCTAGATGCCGGGACGGCGCCAGGAGCTGAACTAACGCTTGTCGCTGCATAAACATTGCTGCCGACACACTGAATTACAGTAAAAACAACAGTAGTTATACTGGATGGCAATGTTCTGCAATATAACTGGATTTGGACATAGTACCAAGCGATTCTGATAGATAGTAGCATTACCCAGGTTGCAGTCGGTAAAGTAGTGTCGCTATCTAGCAGAAAAGAGGTGGGGACAAAGCCCTGTTCTAAACGACCCTGGTGGGGATTTTGGGAAACTATATTTTTTATTGTCACAAAAGTACGTCCCCACAAACTGCAAAGAAATATAGGACGCTCGTGACGAGCTGGCTGATCCATGGAAACGTTAAACAACAATGACACAGCGTTGTATATGTACAACGCTAGCTCCTGGCGCCGGGTAGGCACGTTGTAAAAATACAACGCCAGCAGCGAACGTGCAGTTTTTTTTATCAACTAAGACTATTTATTTTCATTTTTAGATATAAAAAAAATCCTCTCGGTCGTGCGCCCTCTGGGACCTTGCGCCCATAGGCCCGGGCCTACCGGGCCTATTGGGAAATCCGGCCCTGGCTTGTTGGTATAGTAAGGGTAGCCCTTTTCAGTCCAGGGAAGACATAAGACGGTATCTAGGCAGGTCAAGGAGATGAGCAGTCGTTTTTGGGTATGATTTGATATGCTTGGTCCTCACGTCGAGCAAGTTTCCCTGAGTTTTCCTTGAGTAATTTTACCGTGCTATTGAGGATGTACTGACTGTAGATGGTCAGAATCTTTAGATCCCTAAAGATAGGCCTACAGTGGTCAAAGTTCCCGGCGGACGTAATCATCCTCAAAGCCATCTTCTGAAGGAGCAAGATGTCATGTGCTGCAGCTGTATGGCCCCAAAGTGCAATGCCATAGCTTGGAAACATGACTTTGAAAAGAGCATGGTATACAGTCACTAAATATGGTTTAGAGATTACCAATACCAGTTTCCTCAGGAGATAGACTACTCTAGCAAGCTTGACACATTCCTGGCTAATGTGTTGTTTCCAACTTAACCTGAAGTCAATCCAGAAGCCCAGGAGTTTGACTGCTTCTTCACCCAAGTGGTTTGTCTTAAGTGTGCACAGCCGTGTTTGTGTCTTGTCGTAGTTTATTTTGAGTAGATTCTGATTGAACCACTCCTTTGCATAGACCGTAAGGCATTCTGCATTGGTGCGTATCTGGTTTAGATCCCTGCCTCTGGTGACCATTGTGGTGTCGTCTGCGAACAGCAATGTTTAATGTTTAAAGCCAGATCATTTATGACAATAGTAAAGAGGAGGGGACCAAGAACCGAGCCTTGGGGAACTCCATGTCTCAAAAGTTTTACTCCAGAAGTCGCACCGCCGAGAGAGACAACTTGCTTTCTACCTTCTAGATAGTAGATAATAGTTTGCAGGACCACGCCAGTTACCCCGTACCTCCTGAGCTTGGATAGCCTATACAATAATTTTATGTGATACCACGTCAAACGCTTTTCTTAGGTCATAAATGTTCAGCTGGACTAAGTCCTCGTCTTCAAAAGCGTCTGCAATTTGGTTAACCAGGCATTATGTCCCTGCAAGCCACTATTAAGTATAAAATGCTTATCGCTGTTATACTTGTGCTTTGTGTTTGCAATGAGAGAACACGGTTTGAAAAAAAATGGTTCTTTAAATTTACGGTACTATTCGTATGTATGCTGTAGGTAGGCCTATAATGTTCTACCACTGCTATACCTAAACCTATACCTATTACCTAAACAATAGAAAAAGTAAATAGGGCCTAAACAATCCTACTTTGACAGAGGTCTCATTGTGTATCACAGCGTTGCTGCTTAGTTAAAATTAGCTGTTGTCATAATTACAAAAAAATTATTAGTGACACACCATGTCGGTAAACCTTATAACTATTTAATGCTGTTGAATATCATAGAATCAAACAGCTGACAACATTCTTTAATTTCTTTAAAATATGAATACTCATAAGTTTATCATAACTAAACTACAGGGAGATTTTTGAGATAAAAATAAGAATAAGAATAAGAATATGTTTATTGTCTTTCAGGCTACATAAGCATTAACAAAGTCAAGTTTACAGCAGAAATGCCAAGTCTCTATACTAATATAGGGCCTAAGGGTACTACTACTAGGCCTACTAGGCCTTACTAGGCCTAAGGGTAATATCACATATCATAGAAATATACAATTCATAGGAACTATACAAGAATCAAAAATTATACATAACAGATTTCAAACATTAAAATTCTATCTGTTTTAATAAGAAAAATTCACTGAGTGAATAGAAAGGATTTTTAGATAACCACTCATAAAATTTGTTCTTAAAAACTTTAACAGTATATTTCTTACTAAGATTAATTACTTTATTATATACCTTAAGGGATAGTACTACAGTACATGACTAGACAGTGATTTGCTGAGTCTATTGTACTCAATTACTGCTTTATCCCTATTACGAGTGTTGTAACTGTGCATATCCCCAGTGAATGTAACAAGATCCTGATTTTTTAGTATATAAGATACAAGTTCAAAAATATAAAGGTTGATAATGGTTTGTATTTCCAACTGAATAAAGGCCTATATGTTAGGTAATTGGTAATGTGAGCTATTATTATGCCTGTTTATTAACATTGTTAAATTGTTTGTTTTTAGAAAGTAAACATTGAAACGAATGCGGAAGAAGATGGAGAACCCGACACAGATCATGACCCTCATTACGAACCTATTATCTCTCTTCCTGAAGTACAAGTCTCAACTAATGAAGAAGACGAGATAGAATTGATCAAGATGTAAGTCAGAATCCAAACTAACAGATCATGTTTCGTTTAATTCATTCTTGGGGACTTGCTACAAACTCTCACATCCTCTCAAATATAATTTTAGGAACGGATAAGCTATTTCTCTCTTTTATTTCATTACTCACCAACTCCTATACTTACTAGGCTACTTTTGTCTCTTTACACCGATTCTCTTGGAGAAAAGGACTTTTTGGGGATTGAAATAACTGCTTTACAGCCAGTGAACTTCAAACCAACAATTTGATCATTTGAAAAAGGAAAGTTAGGTTTTGGATTATGTCACTGAGGCTGCATAAATATCATCATTTTTATATACAAATATTTTCAATTCTTCTCTTAGTTAAGCAAACCATTTTTTTTAATGAGACTATATTTCAACTATGTGGGCAAAGACAAGCATATAAAGAGTAAGCTACCATCTACTCAGTATAAGAATGACCAATTCTGCTGTAATGTGGGCCTAGTTGATTGGACCACTGGAAGTTGATCCCATAACATCAAAAGAAACTACCTACTCACACTGAATGTTTTTTTTATTTTCTATTAAATTGAAAAATTAATTAATTAAGAATAATTTTAGCTTTTTTATTTCAGACGAGCCAAACTTTACCGTTATGACACCTCCACTGACCCCCCAGAATGGAAGGAGAGGGGAACTGGAGACGTTAAACTTCTACAACACCAGACAAAGAACACAGTACGAGTCGTGATGAGGAGAGACAAGACACTCAAGATCTGTGCTAACCACTTTGGTAAAATATTGTCTCAACCTTTACAAAACCTTATTAAATATAAATAAGATATACTTTTTCAAGTTATAAGTGAGATGTTGTGTTATCAATTTAACTGTATGAAAAAAACTGGGAGGTTTTCACAGATATTTAGCATGCCTCTTTGAGATTTTGTTCCAGTGGATGATAGAATGTTGATTGAACTGATATGTCTGATCAATATTTATAACACAATAATTTAGATCTATTCTTTTTGTAGTATTTGGCAAGTGAAAACCTAATTGCATGCGGTTCTGTACCGTTGTGACGTTACAGTCACTAATGGAGTCACTTTCGACTCCATGTGACACAGTACATCTCTCTATAGCTCTAGGCCATAACTATTACCACAAAGTTATTATTCCTATTGAATCTGGACCCATTACAATGGAATGGTCCAGTAAGTGTCTTTAGTATTGTATATTTTGTTTTTTTGTTTGTAGTGACACCATACATGGAGCTGAAGCCTAACTGTGGATCAGACAAGGCCTGGGTCTGGTCTACACTGGCAGACTTTGTTGACGAGGTTGCTCAGAGTGAGATGCTGGCCATACGGTTCGCCAACGCTGAAAGTAAGCTTAAATCCTTTTACTTAAATCTCTTGCCAATTTACCTCTTAAAGCTATTTTTCCTTAGTCGTTGTTCTTCGTTCTCGCAAGAACAGCACATCTGTGACCGTTCAAACTCAAGCCATTCATGTCAGAAACTGTAAACTCATGACACATCAAAGGCCTCTGGATTGCCAGACTGCCAGATTTGTTTGGCTCAACACACTGTTCTAAGGCCTGTTCAGTCCTTGAGGGTGTTTGGTATGTTTTGTTGTTGAGTGTGGGGGTGTTAAAGTGTACGGGCTTAAAAATGGGGTGCAATAATGAAGCTACTGTGTTGTTGGAGTTTTTTTACTTATTTGAACAGACACAATAAACAGTCTCACAAGTATACTCGTAGAAAGTTCATTACCTAAGGCCACTAATTCATCATCTTCATCTTCATCGCACAAGTTAAACTAGAAAGCTTAAACTCAAAGCGCCAGCTTTGTTGCTGTCGAGCACCAGGCCCTCATTGGCTTGGTCTTTTTCTACTAGCCCGTCGGTAGACTTTCAAATCCAAAAATCCAGTGGTTGTTTGACTGGCTGTCAAACACCATGAAAACAGTTAGGCTTGAAATCCTCAGTCGACTCAACATTCGTTGACAGGTCAAGGTCATCAGTGCATCGTCAAGCCACGGGGGGTGAGAACGTCGCTTTATAGGCCTACTGTGTTGTCAGACTTTTATCAGTTCTTTATTCCAATATCTGCAAATACAATCATTCATGGGGTAATTAGTTATCTTCATTATAGCCAGTGATTATATACCTACAGTTTTCTCCTTTTAACACGTTCAATGCTGAATATGTAAATTATTGCGTACCCAAATGGCTGAAATATAATAATTGATTACTCACCAAGTAAATGAGGCAAATGCATCCAAAATGTCATTGGGAGATCACCAGAATATACATCTGTTCATGTGAAAAAGCATGCATTTTCTAAATTTAATCCGGCGATAGTCAGGGATGCCCTTGGGACTCCACTACGCAAAATATGCTGTCTTAGCTGCTAGCATGCCTGCAGTCCATTTCACCCTTTTCACCACATGGATCCCAGATAAAAGCTTCTTTGTTAAGTTGTTTGTATGATCTGTACAGGAGAGATCAGCATTAATAGTAACACCCAGGAGTTTGAACTTTTTTTAACTGAAATATGAAGCGTTTCAGATATGTGCTCCAGTATTCTGGTAAAATTAATCTGTATCGGCTTAGAGGGGTTAGGCAATATTGTAGAGCTTTGTCTGTTGATAATGTTTTTGCTGTGTCATTTCTAAACAATTTAGTGTTTTAAATTGTCATCTGCGTGCATAATGGTTTTGATGTTGTTTATTTATAAAACCAGCAATGTCAATTGTGAAAAGGATAAAAAGAAAAGGGCCCAGGACAGAGCCCTGTGGCACTCCTCTAATCACTGTCAATTGTCTGGATCTGCGCACTTTTTGAACTCCATGTACTATTTGTTGAATTTCAACAATTTTTCCAAGTCCTTTTAAATAGCTAGCCACCCATTCTTTTGTCATACCATCAATTCCCAGGGCTGATATTTTTCAGCAGTATATGCCAAATGCTTTACTATAGTCAAGCATGATGCCGATACATGTGTGCGGTCCTCCAGGTACTGGATAATGTTTTTGATCAAGTCTGTTAGAGCTGTAGTCGTGGATTTCCCTTTGAGGAAGCTATGCTGATTTTTTATATTAGGTCATGTCTTTCTAAATGACTTAGCATTCTTGACAGGGCTACCTTTTCTAATATTTTGAAGATATCAGTGAAATCGGGTGATAGTTCTCCGGTTTTGTGGATGACCCTTTGTTGTGCTTTGGGTAAATCTTAGCTATTTTTAAAGAAGATGGAAATTGGTCTAAGCTAAAAGATTTATTGATTATGCTTGCTTGTGGAGTTGCCAGCTGTTTTGCACAATGTTCTACCACTTTTGAAGGGACTTCATCTACTCCGCATGGTAGCTGAGATTTCAGGCAGGCTGTTACTTTTTTAGGACTTCTTATCAGTTGTTGGTGTTAGAGTCAGTGGCTGTAAACCTTTTTGTGGGAGAGGTACATGATGGTTAATAGCTGTGTTTTGGAATTAATCTCTGTTTTTTTTAGGTCTGCTACTTCTGAGAAATATTGGTCAAGATAATTAGCAATTTGAACAGGATTATCGATTATTTCCCCTTTGATGTCTAATAGTAAATTAGGGTATTTTTTCTGTTTTGATTGTTTTCCATGTTGATTATGTGCCATAGTGCTTTAGATTTATTTTCTGCCATTATATTATATTCATTGGTTATACCAGGGGCGGACTGGGTACTCTATTAGGGCGTAAACCTTGACCAGCCCGAAGGCGCCAACCGGGGGGTTCGGGGGGGGGGGGGGGGTATGGACCCATTTTTTAAAATTATACCTGTAATCTCGCATTTTTAGGCAATCTAGAGGCATTAACAGTGGAAAATCAGAAATCTGATAACTGACACTATTGGTTAATGTTTGGTTTACAAAATTTAGACTATTTACCCACACGACTTGGTGCTATTCTGACAGTAAATATCCTAACAAAAATAAAAATACAAATGATTTTCTTAGGTTCTTTCGTATTATATTTGTGTATTTTCTTTGTTTTCCCTTGCATGGCTTGGCTGCATGCATACAATATAAATCATTTGCTTCCTGTTTACAGCATGAACTTGCAACTGTTGCATTTTTTGGCACTGTAAATAACAGAAGTTATATATTTTAGATTTCTATGAAATTATTTTAACACAAACAATATGCTTTCACTGTGAACAAAACCAATTTATTGACTTAAACTTTTTAGCATTACATTAAGTCAAAACTGTAACCCTAAAGTTACCTAACCTACCTAACCTAAGCTACCTAACCTATTTCTACAAACGAAATAGCCAAGAGAAAACTAAGAAGGTATTTTAGGCTGGCTATCTGTAAGTAAAATAGGAAAGTTGACAGAATTAGTGCCATAGTGCATATTGAAATAGTTAATTAATAGGCTGTAGCCACATATTAAAATACTGTTTACTGTTTAACCTTTAATGGTTAAGTTAACAAATAAATACACTGTCACTAAATCTATTTAAATTTTGTAAAAGTAGTGATTCAACAATACTGCTTTCGTTCATGTTTCCTGTGTAGGTAAAGAATATAAAAATAAATTGAAGCTTTCGACACAGAGACACAAATCAAACACTCACTAAAGAGAGTCACATTTTAATTGGCACTGGCAACTCACACTCTTTATTTATTTATTACATGCACGGCAAACGCCATTTTACAAGAGAGTTGAGTTGATATTGATAAAATTAAATGTGACTTAAAGTGAAATAGTTATAGTGTGAGCAATAATTAAATATTATAACAAACTAGCTGACCCGGCGAACTTCGTATCGCCTAAGTTATAGGTTTCCCCTAAGACAGACCGATGGAAAGAAAGTACCGTTACGTTTAATTTTCAAGATGATCTCGTTCGCATCGCTCAATCACGTCCTGGTTGAAGTTCGTTCGCTACGCTCACTCACCTTTGGGTTGGAGCTCGTTCGCTGCGCTCACTTGCCTTCAGGTTAGCTCGTTCGCTACGCTAACTCACCTCCAGGTTGAAGTTCGTTCGCTACGCTCACTCACCTTTGGGTTGGAGCTCGTTCGCTACGCTCACTCACCTTTAGGTTGGAGCTCGTTCGCTGCGCTCACTTGCCTTCAGGTTAGCTCGTTCGCTACGCTAACTCGCCTCCAGGTTGAAGTTCGTTCGCTACGCTCACTCACCTTTTGGTTGGAAATTAGCTGTTGTCATAAATGTAAAAGAAATAATAGTGCTGCACCCTGTTGGTAATCCTTGTAACTTTAATGCTATTGAACATCATAGAACAGAACCAACTTGTTTAATTGAAACAGCTGTTAAGATTCATTAATTCCATTTCTCATAAGGTTAACATTGGAAACTCAAGAGCCACTGGGGCGGAGCCCTTTTAAGAATTTCGAAACGGGAAATAGTTTACGTCCGATTCGCATACCTACAGAATTTACACACCAAATTTCATAACGATCGGTGAAGTCGTTCCGGAGGAGTTTGCAGACAAACACTGTGACACGAGAATTTTATATATTAGATATGAATAATATTAAATTATCTTCACTAGTTGTTTACCACAGACGACATCGTGACACCGACCGATGTCGGATGTAGGCGCAGTCACGAATACTAGAAAAATACCGGTATGGATCACAAACATAAACAAATGACGTTGTTGGCCCGAATCCTATACTGAGCATTGAACATATCATTTGGCAGTTCCATTTAAGCAATGTTAAACAATGGTTATTTTCGGGCCAAAAACGTAATTTGTTTATGTTTATGATCCATACCGGCATTTTTCTAGTACTCGTGGTCGCAGTGAAGTTTTTTTCGGGATCGGCGTAAAATGACGCGGGAAGAGGACAGCTGTTTTTAAGTAGCTCAGACCACAGAGTAAAGTAAGTGCCTTCCACTCGGAGTAGGCCTACACGTACGAGAGAGAAGAGCTGCTTTGCTCTCGCTTGTCGACAGTGTCTATTCAGGTCTCACACCCGACTTTATGTTTTGCTATTCACTGCTGAAACTTTTACTCTAAGTTTTTCCTCTTGATTTCTAAAAAATACATCTCGTCTCATTTTTTAAAGAATTTTATGAATTTTTCCTTTAACGAGGGCGCAAATATTGGAATGTTGAGAAGGCGCATCGACCCTCCGGCCGGTGGGCCGGCGGGCCAGTCCGCCCCTGGGTTATACTATATTTCTTTTAAGATATCTAAGCTTAATGTCATATGTATTCTTTTTAGTCACCATTAATTTACTGTCATTTTTATTTCCTGTTCGTTCAAATCTGCACATTGCAGCTAGAAATTCTTCTTTTAAGAGTTGTACCTTATAATTATACTGAGCTTTTAGTTTACCTTTTTGCGTCATTAATACTATTTTTGTAGGGCAAACATAATCCAGTAGTTGCCGAACAGTTGTTAGAAATTATTTGATCGCTTTCTCTGCACCTAGAGCATTTTTCACTCTTTCCCAGTTTTCTTTAGCAAACTCATCTCTCAGGCTGTCAAGATTTTTCTTAAAAGAAATTCTTTTTTGGGTAATTGTCGAGGGTGATCGATTATTTCCCCTTTGATGTCTAATAGTAAATTAGGGTATTTTTTCTGTTTTGATTGTTTTCCATGTTGATTATGTGCCATAGTGCTTTAGATTTATTTTCTGCCATTATATTATATTCATTGGTTATACTATATTTCTTTTAAGATATCTAAGCTTAATGTCACATGTATTCTTTTTAGTCACCATTAATTTACTGTCATTTTTACTTCCTGTTCGTTCAAATCTGCACATTGCAGCTAGAAATTCTTCTTTTAAGAGTTGTACCTTATAATTATACTGAGCTTTTAGTTTACCTTTTTGCGTCATTAATACTATTTTTGTAGGGCAAACATAATCCAGTAGTTGCCGAACAGTTGTTAGAAATTATTTGATCGCTTTCTCTGCACCTAGAGCATTTTTCACTCTTTCCCAGTTTTCTTTAGCAAACTCATCTCTCAGGCTGTCAAGATTTTTCTTAAAAGAAATTCTTTTTTGGGTAATTGTCGAGGGTGAGCAGTACCTCCCAAGCGGAGAAAATTTAAAACAAAATTACAATGCTAAATATTATGAAGAGAAACAGGGGGCCAATATGGTATGCACAGCCGAACTAAACAGGAGTCGCGTAGAGGGCCACTACGCGTGGCTGGCCTGAGCTGCGAGGCTACCTTGAGCACCGACATCGACAATGATACGTCACTAAACAAAATGAGAGGGCCACCAAGTGTGGCCTATGAAAAAGGGAACAATAAATACGAGCGCATAGGGTTAATGGTTTTGTGAAATTTGGCCTCAATAAATTTAAATAGCCGCCATTTTGAAACGGTTTAGAGGCTTTATTCTAATTTTACTTTAAGGTAGCGATCAATAACATTTTTGCAGAATCTCAATGATGTATCTCAAACCCTTAAGGAGCTATGAATGATTTTGTGAAAAACTCATAAAGACAGGCTAAAATAAGTGAGATAGGACATTGCAAACCTTTTTGCTTATTTTGACTTGCGGAATCACTACACAATTTACTTCCCCACTTTTTTTAACACTGTATTACAGAGAAAAACAAAATAAAAACACAATGAAACCAAAACCTAACACAATTATACTTGTCTGTCCAAAGCCTCCTAGCTGGTCTGAAATAAAAAACAACAAACTCACGTACACTACCACTCGAGGTTGCCTGGTGGTGGTGATCCATGAGGCGGGGGGCCTTCTCTAGATTAGGGGTTCATGTCGGCTGCTGGTTCCACGTCCATGGTGACTGACCGGAATAAGGCTACGTCTTGAATTTACATGTAACCTCCTAGTACAAACATGTTACGATGTCTATGGGGTACCTGACAATGTAAATCTTTGCTGTAATTCCTCCAAGGAGCAACAAAACCACAACACACTTGGTAACACCACCACTTGAACTCGCTGCACGAACAAAACTAATTAATAACAGAGGTTGCTGGGTGGCAGCTAGTCAGAAGGGGGGACCATTGAAAATTTTTTAAGTCCATAGAAAGTGTTGATTAGATAGTTTGTTTTAATTTAGTGCTTTTGATTAGATAGTTTGTTTTAATTTAGTGCTTTTTATTATTGAATAGGCCTAATAGAATAATCAATTAGATGTCTTTTTAATATCACAAAACAGGAAATGATTAGCCTAATTTATAAGAAAAAAGACTAAAGAACATTTCTTTAAATTAGATTATTGTTTGTTATTAAATGTGGCCTGAAATCCTAGTTTGGTCAAACAACTGTAAACAGGGATAGGGTTATTTGGTTGTGATTTTAAAAAAGTATCGCACTAGAGCTTAAAATAAATCTTTCGGGAACTAAATTATGAATTTAATACTGTTAAGTTAATATTTTCCGCCAACTTTGTGTATAATTCTGGTTTTAAATTTCAGATGCAAAAAAATGGAAGGATATGTTTGAAGAAGCGAAGAATATAGTTGCCACAAAATGTGACCTATACAAAGATTCACCACACAACTCCAGCGCAGATGGTGAGTTTTTAACTTTCATCAGATAAAACTACAGCTTTTATGTTTTGGATAAGACATAATTTATCAGGGGTCTGCAAGCAGTACATTTTTTTAACCAAGTCGAGTTTTTTTTAGTCTAGTATTTTTATATTGAAGTGAATTGCATGATAGCTTTAAAATATCACAATAAAACTTTTAACAGTAAAAAATATTTATTTGAAGGTTATTTACAAAATAAATTTAATTTAAAGCTTAAAGTTTTTAGATTGTTTTAATTACAATCTTTACATTGTGCTCTTCAGTGCAAGAACCGTTCTTTAAACCACTGGCATCAAATAAGTACCTCAACTGACTGATGTGGTTTTTATTCACAGTCATATGCAACACTCCCAACAGAACATTAATAAGTAGTATAGGGGGAGTGTTGCACGACGTCCAAAGATATAAAGTCAGTGTCATGACGTCCAATATTAAATATTTGACTGTTGGTAGCGCAGATAATAATGGTTAAAGTTTTGAAATTTCTGCAAGAGAAAGAGTTTCGATAAAAGCCTAAGCAAGCATGCCAGCTGTTTTATTCGAAAACCATTCAAAATTTCACAATTTAAACCATTATTATCTTTGAAACGGTTAGGTTCATGAAAAAAATCACAAGAATAAAATCGTCTTAAAATTAAATTTTCTATCAGAATACATCATAAAATACAGGGTGTTCCATAAGAAAAATCAAAGTTGGCGGCCATATTGGAAAAATGGCGGCTAAAATAATTTTTTTGACTTGACTACAATTTTTTAAATAAAAAGTCCAAGGCACTTACCATTTAACTTTTTTTGATATCTCTTATAGTTTTCGAATAAAACGGCTGGCACACTTATATCAATCACCCTGTATATTATAGTTTCATAATTTGTTTACAGCTTTTAAACTAGGCCTAATTAAAAAAAAAGTAAAGGTTAAAACTTAACCGTTCTACTTCAGTTGCGGTTCTATCTGATTTTAGGTATATTCATTGAAAAACGTGTACCGCCAGTATATAAACAGTAGTATAAACAAACAGCCTAGCATATATTTAGCAGCTAGCCAAATAACCACTTTTACTACAGTAATGCTAGTTTCTTAATTATATTTTGACTTCAGATTCGCAAGAGGAAAAAGCTGACTCCAGTGATGAAAAGGAATTAGGCAAAGAGTTAGAAAAGCTCAAATTGGGTGAAAAGGCTCAAAAAGAAAACACATCGCATGAAGAGACGCCAGAGAAATGAGCTGTGATAAGTTTAAAAATTTCAAAATTTGCCTTAAGTTAGATGTTTTAACTTTGTACGTAGAAAAAGGCAAACATTCCTATTTTAAGACCAAAGTCTTTTTTTAATTAAACTTTGACATACTCTATGTTATGCAATATGGACAAGTTCTAAATTTCTTATTCTTAGCCACATATAAAAATAATATTTTATAAGATCATTAAAAAGTAAAGCTTGTGTTTGTTTTGATTAGTATATGAAAATTAACATAAAGCCTAGTTTTGTACATGACACAATAGAAAAAATGTCTTAATACCACGTTGATTTTCTTATAAAATCCCCACAAAGAAAGGCAGCTGGAAAATTGTAGTTGCATCGTTATAGAATATTTAAAGAATGATTGATCATATGGTAGACAATAGTAAAATCAGTAAAACAAAATTAGTAAATTTCATCACTAGATCCCAAAGTGACTCTTATCGACCTGAACTAAAGTTTTACAACGATTCCATATACTATATTTAACACGGTTATGTTTGAAATGTGCCATAATATTTTTTGGAATAGCATAAAGGGTTTAATGAAATCAAAATAGATTGAAATCAATCTCTTTTCAATGCCCTTCTATAGTTCGGCCGCTTAGAAAACGACCTGCGCGCTAATGCTAAACCAATGCTGGAGGAGGTCGTTTTCTAAGCGGCCGACCTTTAGTTGGATTTGTTATAACTTACTTTCAAAAACCAATTTGCTCCAATAAGTTTCACAATTAATAAGAGCTCAAAGCATAGGTATATACGGGTACCAAAAATGTATCTAGACTCAGCAAATGCAATATCTTATATTGGGACCTAAAGAAATTATCTATTAAATCTATGCCTATTAATGTTATAATAATGCTGTACATCTAAAATAATAGTTCTTTGAGTTTACTCATACTAACTCATACTAAAGTCTCAAAACATATCTTTATGTTTAAATTATATATGGTTGACATTATACTCTGTAGGTCCTTAGATACAAAAAGTCTATTTTATTATGTAGTTTGATTAGATATTTTGTTAAAATAAACACAAAGGACTTTGAGGTACTGGATTGTTAAGATATCTGAACTAGTAGATAATTCATCACTTATCTTAACGGCCTAATATGTTGGAAGAATAACAAATCAGAAGTCATTACAATACTTAAATGTTCAATTTGCTAATATTACATCATTCATTGATAATATTAAAATGTTTCAATATTTCTATATATTTCATATTTGTAGCAAATCTGGACCAATAGTGTTAATTATTTTTACATTTGTACTTAGTTATTTTTATTTATGAAAAATCAATTTAATTACAGTCTGTTCCATTGTTTTTATACTTCTATACTTTTCATTTTGTTGCTGAGTGCTATCTAATAATCAATATACATGTAGACTGTTTAGTTTCGAGCACAATTGTCTTATAAATCGAACATCAAATAAATTAAATAATGTAAAAATATTTTACATACAAGTCTCTGAACTGTAATGAAATGTCATATTTTGATTTTTTTCTTGTTCAAACCTAACTCCTTGAATATAGTCATAGAGGAAATTGCTTTAAAGGAATCAAGCCTGTTCTTAGTTTAAAAAATGTGTTGTCAAGTGAGTTATTTTTTAATTACAAATTAGACTTGTAACAAGGATGAAAATGTGTGTTAGTTTAAACGTAAAAGTTAATTTTCATAAATAAATTTATGATGATAAAAATGATTAATCACAACAATTTTAAAACGTGATCTTTTGACAATTTGAAGTATTATATCACACAGTTTATTGTTTTGATAGAAATATTTTGTAATTAAGCTCAATTTGTGTCAAAGTCAGCATCCAATGGATTATTCACTGATATACAGCATAACTTGCCTAATATGATGAGTAACAAATGGAAAAAACCTCTTTTATCCTTTTTACAAGTCTAAATGTGTCCCATAATTATTTATTCGCATAATTAACAATGTCTGGAATGTCTTTACGCCCTTAAGTTCAACCACTGTTTGTATTTTATCCAAAGTATTGCCTGACTATTTGTAATGGAATTGTACAAACTCTGATAAGGAATCATCCTCTATCCCAAAATATATTTTATGCACTTATATCACATGGCTTTCAGCTTTTAACATCCTTTGGTTCATATCTACCCCACTGTACTGTTGAATTTTCAGCTTCCGCTCTCTGACTAAAACAATGACTTAAGATAAATTGTCATCGTGGATTCAGCATTTATACTTTTTTGAACATATTTTTCATAATTGCTGCAGGCCAATTTTATTTTTTTAAAGATCTTAAAAAAAGCAATATTTTATACAATATAATTTTGGTACTTGTGGTTAGAATGTTATTCTCAGTGTTCTTTTGTATGTTTGATGTTGAAAAATGAACATATTTTTATAAAATATGTAAAATAAGTAAGGGTGGATCATAAATAAAGTGTTGAGCGTTTATAGGATTTTATGCATTTTGTGTTTTTATTTTATCCTAAGAAATTATCTCCACTCTGATTATACCTTTATATTTGCACAATTCAACACTCGTAAGACAAAGGGATGTAAGTACATGATAAGGTATGTGTACTGAGTATGTCTCTTTGTATGGACAGCTTCAAGTCTGTTTATTTAACATGATTTTACATATTTTTTCCTACAGTAACCCGACAAAGTGGGCTTCCTTGCACTGATAACAGCACGCCAAGTAGCTGATTGCGGCATTTATCCTCTTTTGCCGCACTCCAGTATTTCAACAAAACAAAACAGTATGATTTTAATAGGCACATAATACGAGAACGCTTGAAAATAAGTTGGCAACACTTAAAGATACTACGACTACGGTGCACTGTTTCCCACATTTCGTTCAACACTTGGATTTAACATAACCTAAAAACGTGTTGTTTAGTGTTTGTCTTTGAAAGACTAATTATTTATATGCTTTGTAGTAACTGTAGGAAAAATATAATGTGTACCTAACACGAGTGCAAAGTGCCTTTGCTGCACTCAAAAACTTTCCACACTCAACTCACCTGCGGCTTGTGCGTAAACATTTCTCTCACGTGCAGCAAAGTGCCACTTCGAACACTAGTTACACAAATAACTTTTCCTACAGTTACCTAACAATGTACATGTTCTCTCACTGATTTGAGAAAGCAAAGTGACCAATTCGCTCATCAGTGAGACAATGTTAACATTGTCTCACTCTAATTACTTTGTCTCACTCCAGATTTGCAACGTGAAGGCACGAAATAGTGGGCGCGTAACATGCAGGCAACGTCGTATGCGCGCGAAATACGTTGGCAGCACTGGTTGTAAATCAGCTGGTCAACTGTTGTACTGTTGTATTTGTCACTTCACATTAAATGTTATATTAAAAGTTCACTTCTGTGTAAAAATAGGTTATGTTTCTTCACCAATTTATTTGTTTCATGGTAACTGTACTAACTGTAGGAAAAGTATAATGTGCAACTCGAGCTCAAAGTACAATTGCCTCACTCAAGAAACCATTCCTCACTCGCCTACGGCTCGTGAGTAAGGATTTCTCTCGAGTGAGTCAATTGCTCACTTTTCTCACTAGTTGCACAAATAACTAATTTCGCCAAACTACACTGTTCCACACACAAAATTAGTCTGGAAAACAGCTGTTTGCCACCTGCTCAATCAAATGGGATTTCATTACTTACTACTGAAGGGTGATGCATTTTACAGGACAGCTGACTATAATTACCATATTTTAGATAAGAAACACATCAGGTATTTCATGAACACAACTACGGTAATTATCAGAAGAGCAAATTTTACTGGCTAAATTCAATTAACTTTATTTGTGCACATAATAATAATAATAATAAAATCACTTTATTGTCATAAAGTCTGTGTAATAGAGTAAACATTCTTATCAAGAAACAGCAAAGCTTATTATGTAAATAAACATTATGTAAGTTTTACTTTCTTCTCCTATACCATAGTATATGGAGAAAGTATTTTGTTGTCAAAATTACGAGTTTGAGTTTAAAGTGAATCCGTTTTAGGTCCTCCAGAACCCAAAAAAGTGGTTTTCGAAGTGATGTCTGTCCATGTATGTGTCTATCCGTATGTGTGGATGTGTACAGAGCTATAGACCACACCTGCTGTCAGATTTTGATGAAATTTTGTATGTACTAATCCATGGTATCTCCAGGCATTTTTTTATTTTGAATGTTAATAGTGATTTTCCCATAAAAGTCTTTAAAATAAGGGAAAAATCGGGTTTTCTCAAAAATGACCTGGACGATTTTGATGAAAATTTAGTTTGTTAAATAAATGGTGCAAATTTCCCATTTCCATAAAAATTATAGTTCAAAAGTTATTGCAACTTATGTTTCGGTATTTTTCCATTTAAAACGCCATAAAATAGACAAAATTCAGATTTTAGAAAAAGCCGGTTTTGATTAAAATTAAACGTGTTGTATGTTCCTTATAATTTTAAACAAAATAGTGCAATCCCCCACCCCCATTGCTGAAACAAATATGGTTCAAAAGTTATTGCAATTTTGTGATTTTCCCTATAAAATAAGTCACTCCCAACGCTTACCCATGATAAAGGTTGTTGCAAGCTAATGTGAAAAAGTATGTGTCAGATTGCTGATTCCATTTATTTACATGAATGTTAAACTGTAGGTCCCTTAGTTGTCATTGTTGTAGCTGTATGGGCTATTAATTAACAGCTGTGTCTAAGGAATATGTTGGCCTCAGTCACTAACAAGACTAAGACTTCAAGATTGCGCCACTCATTCTACATTCATCTCCATTCATACTTGGCTTAAAATACCTACTTTGTATGGTCGCCATTTCAATGAAAAGTATTAAATATAAGTAAAGTATAGTGATTGTTAAGTCGGTGAGAAAGGAATATAACTACAATTATTTATTTATCGTTAGGTTAGTTTAAGGTAGTAATGGCATAGAAATGGTGACAAATACTGTACTTCACTCGTCCAAAGAGTTTTTACTGCACTTGTATGGGAACAACCACTCATCCGGTAAACACCTATTTCCGAACAAGTGACGTAATACTCGTATACTATAACATAACATTTCACATGATTAGTGTGAAGATTTAAGTCATCTGGATGGAAAACATGAACATATAAGTTAAGTATTATATTTATTTTGAAAATATATTTTGCTTTATGTCTCCATAAGACATCATTATTATAATTTGATATTTAAATATCTTTGCCTTTGGTCTGGCTCTAACACATGTTTTGGGATTTGAGAATATTAAAATGTACCTTTTGATTATTGTTTTTGTTTATGTATGGTTGAACTCAATTAATTTGCTCTTATTTTTTGTGGTGTTTTCTCTCAAAGTTTTCCTCTCTTTTCACTCTAACTGTTCTTAATAACCCTAAATTTCAAACCTCAAGATTTATACAAAGAAGAAAATATTTAAAGGTAAAATCTTTTCCTATACACATCATTTTGTACTACTCAAGCCTGATGCTAAATTCTTTTCTCACGGCTCCTATTCTCTCCTCTTTAATCATTTCAATATACAGTTTGTGAAAACTAGACATTACTAAATGCACAAAGACATTAAACTTAACTTAACACAGGCCCTTTTTTAATTGTAATTGGTAGGAGAACACATATATAAATAAATTGAAGTGTTTAGTAGCTCAGCTTAATGAAGTTGGAGCTTATGTATTAAACAGAAGCCTCTATTTCATTTCTCATACAAAACAACATCTAACAATCTGTTGGTGTAAAAAACAGCATGTATAAACATTAAACATTGAAGTAATGTGGCTGCTCCATAAGCACCGATGATGAGATTGAATGCTAGCAAAGTATGGTGGAAGTGGAACAGATAATGATTTCTTTAAAAAAGGGTACTGTATTCACTTTTATAAATGTCTATAATTTTTGTTTTTTGTAGTTGTAAACAATGAAAGAGATTGTTAAAACTAAGCCATTGTCTCATTCATTGGTATTGTAGTGATTGGTCCTAGCTAAAGAAACATATGCTCTTTGTGTTTTGATCTGTTCCAAACCCATTATTCATATTCAGGATAAAACATCATACAGTCACGCAATAGATCATGTCAATAATTTGTATAGCAAGTTAAGAAATCAAAAAGTGTATGTGTATGAATATGGCTTGTGTGTATGTGTTGTGTTTGCATGAAATGGCAGATGATATATATAATATGTAATTCGGACACCGTTTGACTCCTTAGATATCTAGCTGAGATAGACCAAGCTTGTGTTACTAAGACAGGTCTTTTACTGTTTCCATGTAGTTGTGAAAACACTAGAGCTCTGTGTTTGTCATACAAGAGTAGAGTACGGTAGCGGCTCTTGTGCTAATAACCCTATACAATCCACCTGTTGACATGCTGCCTACTGTTTACATAGTTATGTAGCTTAAAAATCAGACACTAATCATTACCTACTCCACAAAATGTATGTTATTGAAATTTACCACACTAAGAATCAAATATAGCAGAGCAGCAAATTGAATTACAACCTTTAAAACTACAAACAAACCTTTAAAAGAAATAAATATTACTCATATATGATGTTTGTTTTTCCATTTTTCCCCGCTTTGGTTTTACAGGATTAAAAAATGAAATAACAGGATATATCCTTGTTAATATACAAAGCTGGCATAGCAACAGCAGGTTTGAGTCAAAATTATTTGTACCATTTGTGAGAAATCATTTTTGTTAGCAATCGCTCTAGCTTATTTAGCATTACCACACAATATTCATGGCATGAATTCAAATTCAAGAAATGATTAAAAAACAAAAGTCTCCTACACTCAGGTAAACAGTAAGCTCAGTTCATTTTTAATCTCACTTAAAAAAATAATTGACAAAGTTGTCAAACATATTCAAATTCATTTTTGTTTCAGAACAAAAATTCTCAATATAATGAAGAATTCATTTTGAATTCAAACTGTGTCATCCTATTTAAACTGTTGTTTTGTAACTACCATCTAGGCCTACTTCTGAAGAAGCCTCTGAAAGAGGCGAAATATTAAGTATATTATGTGTGTGTGATTTTATGTGTTCTTTGACTCATCTGCAACCTTTCATCAGGTGAGTTAGCTGTGTCCTCTCCATCCTATATTTATTTATTCAATCCAAGCTAAATGCTTTTTCCTAAAAACATATCAATATAATGAAGGTAACTGTTAGTGTTATTTGATGTGTGTGTTGTGTTATTTTTTAAGGAAACAGTCCAAACACTCTTGTGCTATCTAACAGCTGTGTTTGCATGCTATATATATATGTGTGTGTAAATATATATAATTCATCTTCTGTTAGACGGTGTCATTAGTTTATATATACTAAAGCCAAATGGCATCTAGGTACAGAAGCTACTTCAACCATACCTGGGGGTATGATTGAAAACTGATCTGTTCATCTGATAAATCAAATACTAAAAAATAAACAGCCCTTATCACAAACACAACAACTTCG